ATTGCTGCTGCTGCGTCTCTTAGATATACGCTGAAGACTTCCGTCTGCTGCTCGCAGCAATTTAGGGATTTGCTGCCCGTCGCTCCGCTCTATTATACTATCAGGACGCCTGCAGCAGCAGCAGCAGCAGCAGCAGCAGCAGCAGCAGCAGCAGCAGCAAATGCAGCATCAGCAGCAACAATGAGCAGCAATGGGAAGAACCAGAAGCACAAGCAGCAGAAGCGAAACCGCAGCAGCAAAAGAAGCAGCAGATGCTCTACAACAGCAGCAGCAGCAGCAGCAACAGCAGCAGCAGCAACAGCAGCAGCAAAAGGAGCAGCAAGAATTACCTTGGTAGTTTGTGTGATTTTCTGATGATTTTTCTTTTCCTTAATTCTGCTAATTGCTTCTCTGCCTTCATCCTGAAGGCAGCAGCAGCAGCAGCAGCAGCAGCAACAGCAGCAACAACAGCAGCAGCAGCAGCAACAGCAACAGCAGTAGCGTACAATTGAGGTCGTTGTGCTGCTGCAACTGTTGTTTCTTCTGCTGCTGTTACTGTCAACATTACTTCTGGTGCTGCTACTACTACTACTGCTGCTGCTGCTGTTGCTGCTGCTACTGCTACTGCTGCTGCTGCTACTGCTGCTGCTGCTGCTGCTGCTTACTTGAAGTGTAATTTCTTAAGGTAATGTTTATTTCTTGGACTCGCTAAACCACGACGGGGAGGCAAACCTGCTGCCTTCCTTCCTCCTATCTTCCTCTTACGATTCCTGCAGCAGCAGCAGCAGCAACAGCAGCAGCAGCAACAGCAACAGCATCAGCAGTTCTATCAGCAGCAGCAGAAGCAGCAGACACTGATAGCAGCAGCAAGAAATAGTGTCCTACTAGGAGTGCTGGAATCCACAGCCATGCACGATGCCTCAGTAGCAGCAGCAGCAGCAGCAGCAGCAGCAACAGCAACAGCAACAGCAGCAGCAGCAGCAGCAGCAGCAGATTATCTTGCTGCTGCTGACTTCATATCAAGTAGCTCTTGCCATCTTCTTTGCAGCTGAATAATTTTTTTTGTTCTTCTGCTAAGGAATTCAACATTAGCTAGTGCTGGCTGCTGCTGCTGCTGCAGCCATTGCTGCTGCTGCTGCTGCTGCTGCTGCTGCTGCAGCAATTGCTGTTGCAGTTGCTGCAGGTCCTGCTGCACCTCAGGCTTAGATACATCATCATGTATAGAAGAAAGATCTGTAGGCTTAGCAGCAACAGGAGGAAAAGGATGAGAAGGAGCAACAGCAGCAGCAGCAGCAGGTGCAGCAGCAGGTGCAGCAGCAGCAGCAGCAGCAGCAGCAGAGGCCTCTACTATTTGCTGCAGCAGCTGCTTATCTCTTTTTTTATATATTGCTGTTATCTTCCCTCCATGACGAAGACGACCAACTCGATGCAAATAATCCACAAAATGATTAGGTAAACCATACATTATTATCTGCAGCAGCAGCAGCAGCAGCAGCAGCAGCAGCAGCAGCACCAAGAGTAGTAGTAGGGGTTGGGAACAAGCACCAACAGCAGCAGCAGCAACGGTGGTAGCAGCAGCAGCAGCAACAAGGGTTGCAGCAGATACAGCAACACAAACGGACAACAGACACTTAAAACACACCCAGCAGCAGCAGCAGCAACAGCAGCAGCAGCAGCAGCAGCAGCAACAGCAGCAACAGCAGCAACAGCAGCAGCAGCAAGAGGAGCTAACATGTTTAACATTAGGTAGATTTAATCCCCTTGAGCAAACATCTGTTGTTATTAACACTCGCGTCTTCCCATCAATAAACTCCTTAAATCTGTATACACACCCCTAAACCCTAAACCCTAAACCCTAAACCCTAAACCCTAAACCCTAAACCCTAAACCCTAAACCCTAAACCCTAAATTATATAATAATTATTATTCATTATTTTTTAATAATATATATATATATAAGTATAGTAATAATATTTTAAACCTTTGGTGTTTTTTTCTAGGGTTTATAGATTAGGGTTTAGGGTTTACATATATATTAGGGTTTATGTAAATTAGGGTTTAGGGTTTAGGGTTTAGGGTTTAGGGTTACTCTTTTTGTCTTTTATTGAATGGCATTTCTCCATGACAAGAAGAACAAGAAAACCCTCTCTCCCTTAAATAGTAATCTATTGCCCTGGTAAGCAGCAGCAGCAGCAGCAGCAGCAGCAGCAGCAGCAGCAACAGCAGGTTCAATAATTAGCAAAATATGCAAGCGGTAGCAGCAGCAACACGAAGAGCAGCAGCAGCAACAACAAGCGCAGCAACAGCAGCACAAAGAGCAGCAGCAGTAGCAGCAGCAGCAGCAACAGCAGCAGCAGCAGCAGAAGGATTACCTGCATGCATCAATAGTATTAGCGAATACAATAGTTTGCTGCAGCAGAGGGGAAGGGGTGCCTATACACTCCAATATTTGCTGCGGTCCTTTTGCTGCTGCTGCAGTGGCCGTTAATAAGGAATTGTGTCTCTGTGCCATCAGGTTTATAAGAATTTAAGAAAGCAGCAAGAGCCCCTGAATGTGCTGCACCTACAAATACTAGCTGCACCCCTCTGCTGCTGCTGCTGCTGCTGCTGCTGCTGCTGCTGTTGCTGCTGTTGCTGCTGATGAATCCTCTCTGCTGCTGCACTAGACTAAGTATAAATTGTACCTGCTGTACATAAAAAGAATCACATAATGTATCTGCTTCCTCTATTACTAGCTGCTGCAGCTGCTGCAGCAGCAAAGTTTGCTTCCTTAGGTGCAGCAGCAAACGGCAAGGAGTAGCAGCAACAATATCTACACCGCATGCAAGTGCTGCTGCTTCTGCTGCATAGCTCCCTCCTCCTGCTAATATGCATGCAGATAAAGGTTGTCCTGCTCCTGTTCCTGCTGCTGCTGCTGTTGTTGTTCTCCTTCTTCTGCTGCTGCTGCTTATGTCTGTTACTCCTATACCCGATCCAGCAGCAGCAGCAGCAGCAGCAGCAGCAAGAGGACGTATATTGCTGCGCACTATTTGCTGCGCTAATTCCCTTGTAGGTACTATTATTATTAATCGTGGGCAATGAGGCCTAGCAGGTCGTCCTCCTGCTGCTGCTGTTGCTGCTGCTGCTGCTGTTGCTGCTGCTCCTGCTCCTGCTCCTGCTCCTGCTGTTCTTGCTCCTGTTGCTGCTGTTGCTGCTGCTGCTGCTGCTGCTGCTGCTGCTGCTGCTGGAGGACAGAGACGAGTAAGCAGAGGCAGCAAATACGCGAGGGTCTTCCCGCTGCCCGCCCCAGACAGCAGCAGCAAACTCTTACCCTAAGACACAGCAGCAGCAGCAGCAGCAGCAACAGCAGCAACAGCAGCAGCAGCAGCAACAGCAACAGCATGAATAATAGCAGGAAAAACAGCGTGAATAACAGCAACAAGAGTAGCACTACGAGCAGCAACAAGAGCAGCAGCAGCAGCAGCAGCAGCAGCAGCAGCAAGAGTTACCTGCAGCAAGAGAGGAATAGCCTTAGATTGTATCTCTGTTGGCTGCAGCAAACCTTGCTGCAGCAAACCTTGCTGCAGCGCAGCAGCAACACCAATGCATGCAAAAGAGGAAGCAGCAGATTGAATTAATACTTCTTTGCTGCTGCTCTTGCTGCTGCTGCTCTTGCTGCTGCTGTTGCTCTTGCTGCTGCTAGTCCTAACGATAAAGTCGCGGGGAGCCGATCTGCGGCGCCTGCGGCTTCTGCTGCTGCTGCTGCTGCTGCTGCTTGTATCATCAATAGTGCTGCTGCTTCTGTTGCTGCTGCTGCTGTTGCTGCTGCTGCTGGCATTTCTGCTGCTGATGAAGGTAGCAGGTGTATGCAGGGCTGCCGTCCTGCAAGCTATCCTGCAGATGCTATGCTGCAGCTGCTGCTGTTGCTGTTGCTGCAGCTGCTGCTGTTGCTGCTGCGGCTGCAGCAGGCGCCTATGTAGATAGCTGCAGCTGCAGCGCAGCAGCAGCGTTGGCTGACGACCTGGTGTCGATGCGGTCCACAGAGGGAGGCTGCTGCTGCTGCCGCCACTGCTGCTGCTGCTGCTGCTGCTGCTGCTGCAGCTGCTGCTGCTGCTGCTGCTGCAGCTGCTGCTGCAGATGTGGGGTCGAGGCCCCCGTAAGACAAGACGTCTTGCTGCTGCATCCATAAGAATCGCTAGGGTTAGTCTGTCTAGGGTTTAGGGTTTGGCTGTCTAGGGTTTAGGGTTTAGTCTTCTAGGGTTTAGGGTTTACTCCTGTAGGGTTAAGGGTTTATCTGCTGCTGCTGCTGCAGCAAAGGATTAAAAGATAAAGAAAGGAATAAACCCTCAGGGGGGCCCCCCGCACTGCAGCAGCAGCAGCAGCAGCAGCAGCAGCAGCAGCAGCAGGACGCGGGGCCCCACACACGCTTGCTGCTCTATTTTTATTGTATTTATTAATTAAAATATAAATATAAATTAATTTATAGATAATAAATAAAATAATAATTAAATAACAAACAATTCTTAGAGCTATTTCCTGCTGCTGCTGCTGCTGCTGCTGCTGCTGTAGCTGCCTGTACACTCGAAATGTCGGCAGCGGCGAGAGAAAAAAGAAGAAAAAAAGAAATAAATAAAAAGGGGCAAAAAAATAAAGGAAAAATAAAAAGAATAAAATAATAAATAAATAAATAAATACATAAATAAATAAATAGATAAATAAATAAATAAATAAATAAATAAACAATCAATTATAGCATAGCATGCAGAGAAGAAAACTTTTTTTCTTTATATATTATTGTTCTTATTATTATTTATTTATTATGTATTATTTATATATTTATTATTTATTTATTTATTATTTATTTACTTACTATTTATTTATTTATTATTAATTAATTATTTACTATTTACTTATTTATTTATTATTTATTATTTATTATGTATTTTTTTTATTATTAGTTGTGTATATTTCCCGTCTTGTATACAAGAAAAAAAAAAAGTATTTTATTTATTTTTTTTATTTTATTTTATTTATTTGTTTAT